TGAGTTGTGTTGTGCTGGCGTTGTGCTCAGCTCTCCCGTGCAAAGGACTTCTGAAAAATGCCACCACTATTATTATTTTACCCTATTGAAACACGCAGACATGTGACGGTGGGCGCAAGGGGCACGCTCATCCCGCCTGTTAAGCATTTACATGGACAAGGAAATAATGCTGCCCTCACATGAACGGGACGTGAATTTCTCCAGCCGTAGATATTATTGTGTGTTCCAAGACACGCCTTGGAGTCATGACCGCGAGAAGCATGAATCATGAATCAATCATGAATCGCGAGATCGTGATTTTACGATTCGGCCCCGCACTTCCGTGGCTCAGCTCTATTCTGTGAGTCTGTGATCTGGAGCCTGTGTCCCCAGATCATGTGATTCCTGCACACCCACACTTTGACGGATTGCATCAGTGTTTGAGACGATAGATGACTATGCTTTTTTAGTAAATCGTATGTGATTCATACCCTATTTCTACCTCACTCTTTAGAGAGGAATTCTTTTCTCAAAAACTTCGGCGATTTCGCGCAACTCTCACTTGTTACAATGTGCTGCAGGTCAAACGGTCCTACGAATGTCTTAAGTTTAGCATGGCGGTTCTTCATATTTCTAACATTTTAAGAAGTTAACAAATAATAACAAATGGTTTGCACCGTGCTCGCCTAAATAGAAACAATTTATACATTCTTCTTCGACCAGCTTCGACCGATTCTTCTGATTTACGGGAGGTACTTGGTGAAAGCAGAAAAACTGCGGATCTTTATTTTCCCGACCTCCTGGAAATGGGTCTCTTTTCCCACTGACCCTCTCCCGGGCGCCGGCCTGCTTTGATCAAAGCCGGCATTAGTAACATGATCACTGTATCGACTTTTATGCGTGCAGTTCCAGGCGTGCTGGGCAAGCACACAGGGTTACTTTGCTCCGGCTCCAGATAAAAAGGAAAGCAAGATAAGCCAGATAATAAATGCAACATCACGCCAGTTGCTCTTTTCCTCTCGTGTTCAGTTCCAGCTCAACGTTATTTAACATAGTCATTGATGTAATGTGAGGACTCGGAGCTCACGTTTCCAGCTAAAAATGAGCACCCCGTATCCGGCGCTGCAGTCTCCTCGGGTCGCGCGGCGTCGGCGCCTCGGCAAATATCAGGTGGCGGTCAGCGGGACGGAGTTAAACCATGATATATCTAAAAGGACCACCTAAACACGCTTCATATCTGAATTTGTAAGTTAGCAAGGCGGTCCGGGGCTCAGGTGGCGTGTTTTACCCGCGTGATTTTCGGATTGATAATGGGAACGGATTAGTATTGACAGCATCGCTAACTAGTGCTGGGATCTGGTGATGGAACTGGAAAAGAAATAGCGGAACTTTCATCTTCTGTGTCGATGGCTGCTGCAGCCGTTCTGTTCAGAGGACTGACTAAAATCTATTCAAGTGGGATATTCCTTCCAGTCTAATCTTTGGACGCGTCCAATCATACCGCAGTACAATTTGATTTTGAAAGACTTTCAGAAGCATTACCTGACAATTATTGCTTCCGCGCACCCGGGTCCCAGCGGCTGGTGTCGGCTGCAGCAGCCAACACCGGACGCTTGACGGATTTGTGTTCTTGCTCCCAAGACTGCGAGCGCGCAGCTCTAAAACTTCGTGATGTAACTTGCTTCATTGGTCGATTCTGAAAAAGTAAAGAGTAAAAGGAAAGTAGGTTCTCCGGAAACATAGGTTAAGATCATTTTAATCTTCATCTAATTTGTATCCACTCTGTTGGGCACTAAGGGCCACCCTTGTCTTTTCCGGGCAAGAGGCCCCCGTGGGTAGAGGCCTTATTATCTTTCCCGGTCCGGGGCTGAGGGATCATTTCGTCCCAGCGTGAGGTGCCCGCGGAGTGCCATTTTGGCAACATGGGAACCGGGGTCGCCTAGTCGATCCGGAGGCCCTAAGAGGGACAAACATATTAGTCCACTCCAACGCAAAAGGCCATCTGACCAGAGCAATTAGCCCCGGATCTGGGTCAATTGCAGACCATTTTGCAATCTGGATCAGTTGCAGCGGACCTTTTTGCATTATTGAGAACACCTGCAGGTGTGGAACACCTGAACACCTGAGGGGCTGGTGTTCGGGGGCTGGAACTGGACGGGGGACTGGAACTGGAAGGGGATGGAACACCAGAGGTTACTGCTGCTGCTGCTGACTCGACACCACCACGGAACAGTGACCATCTGTCTACAACTGAGCTGGATCCAGCCGCCCGGCAGCCAGCCCCATACGGGTCCAGCACACTGCAGGCACGCCGGCAGAGTCTTGGTGAGGGGAGGGCACTGGGTTGACAAAGGGCTCCCTGATAATGAAAGCCCCTTCCCCCAAAAAATCAACAGATTTGGTCCCCTTGATTTTAAACGAGCACGTGTTTGTCGTTTTTAATTTCTAGCCACTTAAGCTGGAACAGAAACCATGGATGGAAGCCACCTGTAGAAGTAATCCCCTTTGCATTTTGAAGTCAATGAACGGAAAGAATCAGACGTTAAATGACTGCGTGGAATAAACCTGAGGCGATATGACTCCCACATTATTACGTGAGCTCTTCGTAAAACGATAGAATTCAGAGCCAGAAGCTTTGTCAGAATGCTTTTTGGGTTGTGTCGAGATATTGAGGGCTCCATGAGTGTTGACTCACTATAGGCCAAATGGGATCAAACATTTGTGTAAAATGGCGAACCCATTTACATCTGGCAGTGTTCAACCCTCAGGCAGAAGCGATTAGTTGCAAAATGACGTACACGTGCCTTACGCTTACACGCTTAACACGCCTTACGCCTTTACACGCGCTCGGGTGGGGGTCAAATTGACCTCCCCCGAAGGCTTTTCCGGAATGGTTTTCGAACGGCGCGGCATAGTTCCCGAGATCTCAGGGGGTTCAAATTGACCCTCCACCCGGGCGAAGGGTGTACGGCCGGCCGCCTGGGAGCGTGCCAAACATGCGCGCAAGTCGCATGTTTGGCAAACAATCAAGTCGTGGAAAGGAACACCCGACGTCCAGCGTTGCAGTCTCCGAAGGCAGCGCGGCGCTAGACCTGCGGTTAACATCAGGTACTTGCCAACAAGCAGCCGAAAATAACAAGCACTTAAATAGTTCCTTTTAATGCTTTGTGACACTGATTCGTGAATTCAGAAGACGGTCCTGGCGAGTATTTTTCCTACATGACTTTGGTATTCGATTTAGATGGATAACAGAAACGAATCATCATTTCCAGCGCCGCGAATCGGTGTTGAAATCTGGTGGTGAAATTGGATTAAAAATGCGAAATATTCATGTTTTGTTGTGCGTTATTTGCTGACCTGATAAAGAACAACCTCAGAATTATAAAGCTGCAAGATACGGCAAGGTCCAGCCGTTGAAGAGCACGCATTTGCTTGGAAGACTTTTGGAAGCATTTTTTCCGGGATGGCCTGTTGTTATCTGCAGCGGCCATCGTCGTTCGGTTTTATGGAAAATGCAACCCGGTCATAGCTGTTCTTGCAACTAAGATTGCGAGCGCGCAGCATCAAGTTTGTATGTACTATGCTTCGAAAGTCGATCCTGCAAAGGGAAGGGTGCTCTCTGCCAAACATGGGAGTGACCTCTCTTCATGTTTGACCGCGAGCCCCGGCGTTGTTCCTGCTCGGGAAATGGACCCCAAGGGCTCAGACCGACACGGAGTCAACCTTCCGGTGTTGGTCGCTTCTGGCCGAAATAGGGACCCGCAATATCCCAGGGGTTCTTAACCGGTGCAAGAGGCTCTCTGACGGAATCTGAGGTCACGGTCCTACGGGCCGAGAGCCTCCAAGTGACTTACAGCTAACCCTTTGGGCCCTTCAGTCTTCCAATCGGGCCCTTGGTCGTTGGTCCCGAAGGTCCCAATGCACCCTACTTCGGGCCCGCTCGAAAACTGCCTCTGGCCGACTCGGGCCTCCTTACCAACACGAAACACCCTGTTAGGCAGTGAGCCTCTGAGCGACACAGATCCCCTCATTGACTCAGGTGCACTAGACAACGTACATCGTGTCCTCAATCATTGTCCCTATTCGGGAGATGGGCCCTTAGGCTCACGCCGACTGCTCCGTGCTGGCGCCGCCTGACCGACAAAGGCTTTCATCGGCTTGGCGGCCGTCAATCGGCGCGAAGGCCCTGACTGGCGTTTGAGGTTCCGGATCCCTTAAAGATCTCTGACAAGCTTTTCGTGCCCTCAAAGTGGGTCTTTTATCACCGATCCCGAGGAGCTCTCCAGTCCCTTGGGACCTAGGAGGCACGTGCCTACTCTCTATCTACGCCACTGGGCTACGCTGACAGCGGAGCCGGGTCCTTAACACACCGTATGCCGCCCTACAGGGGCGAAGCAGTTCCAGACGTCAGAGCAAGCCAACTCGCCCCCTTCCTCTCCCAGAGTAATACCCAAGATTGCTTAGGTACACCAACCAAGAGGGAGGCCGCGTGGTGGCGGTGAAAAACCACACCCACAGGCTTATGATGTCGGAAGTGCAGGGCTTCATACGGTTATTCTGGCGCTCGGAAGCAGATGTGACCGCCGCTGCGGCCTTTTCGAGGCCGTTGAACGAGGCAATGGTGCCTGGACTTCCCGCGGCTCGCTCGCATCGACGCCCGGACCGCTAGCGATGACAGGAGAGTGAGCAATTCCGCGCCCATCAGAGGTGTTCGGAGGTGAGTTAAACGACTTCCTTCACCAGCGCTACATTCATCAGGATGTGTCATGGTGGCCGAGGCGCTGCGTGGCACGGCAACCACAGTGGATTTGTTATCTTTATGCCCAACCACCGGAAACGTACGGCCCGCTTTCCTATGACGTTGCTGGTGCCAGGTAACAGTACGTCCTGAACACACTGCCGTGCGCTGGCGGCCGCCGTAAGTCCTGCCCTGCACATCACTGGAGCGGCACACCTTCTGCGGCACCTTGTTTGGCCGTCCACCGCAGGGGCCGAAACATCACGCCTGACGAGCAATGGTGTCACAGCGCACACGAGTCTATCGACCACGCGAATTTGAAGCTGTCAGGACCCGGGCAGCCAGCAAGGCATTTCGTGCCATGTTAACCGAAGACTTCTCCGGTTTAAATGTGGATGAGTAAAACTGTGAATTTATACCGAGCTCACGCCATAATAGCGGGCCGTGCTTCTTTGACACAGTCCCGTAACAGCTCAGAGCCCCGAGACGAACACTTTATCTCACAAAATGTTTGGTGATGCGACCATTACATTACGACACAACCCGAAGTGTCAACAGCATTGGCACAACTACATGTCTAAAATGAAAAGGTTGTATAATACTCTGAACGAGAAAAGAAACATAAAAGTGCAATGTTTAGGCACAACATCAAGCAAAAAGCAATCGTGATTCTTTTCCAGGAGCGCGTGGTGCTCATGACATACAGCACATGAGTCTAAGGGCGACCCAATCGAAAAGCCGCGGCCTGGCTCCACCTTGAGCTGAACACTACCACCGGCCAGCACGGCCAGCCACTACAGCTCCGCTCACATCCACCACACTGACCAGTCTGCGCATCACGGGGCTTTGCAGTGGTACGTGCAGTGCGTGTCCCGGCGCGCAAACGCTCGCTGACCGCTTCTTCAGACCAGTGACATGGTGCGATCTTCGGTGCGGTCGCCTCGCCGCAAGACTCCGAACTGGCACTCTTCCGCGCGGCGCCGCGTCGCTTCACCGAACTGCCACTCTTTGGCGAGCTCCACAACGTCCCGTGCGTCGGGTCCGTCCGCTGGTGGTTTGGGCTTCTTGCTATCCGTCTGCTCCGGACCCACATGACGCTCCAGGACCACACATCGTCCACCACGCGGCCACCTGGTCAGTGCTTCCCTATGGTACAGTACACGGACTGCAGCCTCTGTACAGCCGAGTGCCCGGCAAACCGAGGCACCTCGGCCCACACACTACCGCTGTTCCGGCTTCAGCTTCGGGGGCCGGAAGCCAAGGGGCTTTTTCGCTTTGGCAGCCTTTTTTGAGGTCTTTCCGGCCTTGAAGTTCTGCCAACTCGTCACGCGGCCTTCCCTAGACTCCTGAGACAAAACGCCAAAACGGTTAGAGTTAATGCAAAACATACCATGGAGTAATCGTCATAACATGAGACTGTACCATGTTTATAACAGCAGTAGCCCCGTCGCAAATTACCACGCCGTTTACGTCGATGGGAGCCAGCCCAACATCGACGCCATACGATGGATTGAACCAGAAACTGGGACTCTGAAAGGCAGCGCAACATTGGCTGCGTCGTTTGCCACGGTATGTAAATAAATGTTCCATTAAGGTCATAACTAGAACGGATAACGATCTTTACAGTTGTACGAGGAGCTCAAAACGAGAGCTTAGTTTTTTAAAACGTGTTACACAGCCAATGCGAAACAAACGAGGTTGAGCGAGGTTGGCGTGCGCGTGGTTGTTAACGCAGCTAAGTGAAAAGTACTGATAGCAGTACCTCGAAGTTTTTGTTCCATTCCTTTTGAGCTTTCTTGGTTTCTTCCTCTTCGATTTCTTGCTCTCGCTTTCTTTTCCTTTCTTCTTGGTCCCGAGTCTAAAAGCAACAAGAAATCGTAGCATTAAACTGAGAAAGATGAGAAGAACGGACACATTCCATATAATGGGACATCGTGCACGAAACGTGCACAAGACAGTGTCAAATGAAAGGGCACGGAAACAACTCATCTTCTGAACCCCAACGCCACAATTTTTTCCGTTGTTGCCACTACACACACACTGCAACCGTAGTCAATCACATGATTAAGACCGTCACAAGAAGTCATGACATTTACAAGAAGTCCCTGATGGAGACATTGTCCCTAAAAATTACCGTCCAGAAAATTTAGAGGAGAATAAGTGGACCACAAGACATTGCTAAAGTGACATTTCATATGCATTCGATCCCGACTTTAAGTGTTCACGTTACCCCGCACATAAAAATAATCCGTGATGTCTGAGCCAAGGCCATCGGAGGCCTGCCTGATTCTCATTTATTGTAGGGCCTGCAATTTCCGAACACCGTCCAACCTGAACCTGCAACATTATAGAAAACGTCGTGGAAGGAAAGGAGCTCTGTCCCTAGAATGTGTCGTTCAAACGTTTTCTTCCGCATAATCGAGCATGCCTAGCGTGTTTGCATGACGCATTTAAGGAACTGCCCGTACCAAAACAGGTTTCTCAAGCTTTCTGCAACGAAACGGACATTTTCCTGTTCACGGCTTGTTTGGTCCCAAACAGATGCAGAGAAACGGAAACATTGATATTTTTGCAGTTTTTGTTCAGCTTATGTCGTTGGGACAATATACCCGAAAATGTCACCTTTAAAGACTGCTGCAAGCGTTGCCATATTTGGAAATCTTGCCATCCTTCTACAGTTAGACGTGTTTTCTATCAGTGATTGTTTCTACCGGTGGGCCCTTCCATTATACATTTTCTTCAACATATAATCACGCAGCAGAGTTATCGCACTTAACGCGTCCTGTACCTCTAGCTCTCGTCGCTTCCTCTCCATATCAGCGAAGAGCTTCATGGTTTGAACTTGTATGGCACGCTTGTACTTTTCGGGATCATCTTCGTCCACAGACACATCCTTTTTACCATCTTTCTTGAGCTTCTTACGCTTCTCCTGGATCTGTAACATGATAACGATAGTCACAAAAAGTACCATTAAACGGTTGAACGTTTCAATAAACGAAAGTCCTTATGAGCATGAACGCAGATGTAAGATCCTTTGCAATAGGGCACTTAAAGAGAGCGTTCCACATTTATGTGGGGTTTTGAACTGAAATAGCCATCCTGAAGACGTTTCCGCACTGTTCACGATTCTGCTTTTCTCAAGACCTAAGACCTCTGAGCTTCTCTCTGAGCTAGACGCCCGCGAAAATAGAAAAAGGTATATCGGGAAGAGGATCTGAGTTACCTCGGCATTCATGACGTGATAGAAACGCCACTCAAATCCTGCTATTCTATAAGCCGTGCGGCGATCAAGGCCGAAAAAAATGTAATTGTCTAGGCGTTCATGCCTGGTGTTCGTGAGCGCCATTTCCAGATATAACGGCCGTCAATTGGCTCTCAATCAATTATGTGCAAGATGTCACGACGTAACCAAACTATGGCGTATTGAAAAGCATATTTACTCGACAGTCTGTGCTGTCTAGTGCGGCCTTTTCCACATAAAAATTACCAATAGTTATAAGTGAGCTTGTTTCATCACATCTCATGCTTGCTTCAATGCCCTCAGATGTGAAGCATTCCCTCTAGACATAGACATAACGTACTGCCGCTGTTATGTCACCAGTGGCCAATCTCCACACTTGATGGCTGGCAAGCACTAACGCTAATTACCACAACCGCCGAGACATAGAGCTTTTTTGGGTCAGACACAACAGCATCCTAGACATCGGTCACGTAACGGGTGAGTCCTCATGCCCACAACACACAAGAGCACCGTCAATACTCACGCTCACCGTCCAAATGAGATTGGACGGCTACCAGGATTTTTACACAGCATCCTGGTGTATCCCGAAGTGCCCCCTTGCGCTCAAAGCAACATGCTCAACAGCGCACGAACAACTGTGATCCTGGATGGTATGATGTCTACTTACAGCACTATCCACCTTAAACTTGGCCTCTTCAACAACATCCATGCATTTTTGTCTAGTTGTCTCGTCTTCTAGCGCCTTGTAAGCCTTGTTGATGACTGAAAGACACAGACACATTACATCGAATGCAACTGTATAAGCAGCTAGCAATAGACAGCAACGATACAAAAGATGTTTCAAGGATAGTGGTCAGGTGCGATTAACAAAGCAAAGAGCTTAAAAAAAACCATAAAAATGGCCGATGCCGGGCACACCAGCAAAGAAAATGCTTGAACACATATTTGGAAGGTATCAGTGCGGCTGGTTTGGTTCACACGTAAAAGCAACACAGGCCGCTCGCTAAAACTGCACGTTTTACAATCCTCACTTATGCTTTGTGTCATCAGACAAAGGTCCTCTACGCCGTCGGGTGATCGAGTTGAACACGGGCGAGTTGTTAGTGGTATGCAGCTGATACAAAAACGCAACCAGTGTAGCCTGTTGCCTCAAGAGACCCGCTCGGCAGATTTAATAAATGTACTGGAAAATACCCATCCGTGTGTTCAGTGATCGGACGTGAACACAGTGTCATTCGAGCGCGCAATTCAGGCAGGTCGCAATGCATCGCATTCGTATCGGTCTCAGAACGGGTGTCATTGGTCACCGGCTGGTCTACACCACTGGCGAGCCCATGGGTCGGACAGTGTTGTGGTCGTTTATTGATGCATTCAGGATACATTTACCTGCAATGTGAAGTTGGTGCCGCACCCTTATCTGCTCTGGTCACCGAACCCTGGCCTCCCTTTCCCGCCCCCCCCCCCCCCTTAAAAAGAAGAGCGGATCCGTGGTGTGCGCTCGACAGCACCTGATCGCCTGCACGTGGCGATCTGATTAATAGGGCTGCACGTGTGTGTGTGTGGCACTGCACGTGGCACGTGGCGATCTGATTAATAGGGCTGTCTGTCCTTAACCGTCGTCAGTATTCCACAAGGTGTCGCTGCTACCCCGGGTCGTCCGGATCCGGATCTTGTTTCGATCCGTCTTCCTCAGCTTTTTTAGTAACTTGAAAACAGTTCATGTCAAAATATGTAAATTTGATCATGCTAATCAAAGGGATGAGGTGGCAGCATGGTGAGTAAATGTGGCGGAAGACCCATGCCTCGTTAAATGCCGGAAATGCAGATGCATTGTAAATATTGCACCAAACTTTTAACGAACTGTGTTACTTATTGATGAAAACTGCACAGCGCTACTTTTTATGGCTACAAAGAAAAAGCTCCCTCGAACACGTGGCTGTCCTGGTGGGGCCGGCCCATCGAAGCTACATTTCCGGTCAGTCGACGACAAGACTAGCTCTATCTGCAATCCCGCTCGTATAATTCCATAATTGAGGCGGACCAGGAGAACATCAAGTTTCCGATGGTCGATAGCTCTTCGAAAACTTGCAGCCGGAAGTTGTTTACTCACTGTCGAAGGCAGTTTGCGCGCGCTCCCTGTCATCAGGATTTTTATCTGGATGCACTAGTATGGACATCTGAAATGGGAACCAAGCGACTTAAAAAAAATGTTTTCAAACCATGAGTCACGAACTCGTTTTGATTCTGCAAATAGAATATCCACAATATGGCTAAAACAAGCCTCAAATACGTAATCACGGAGGACAAATCCACTGAGTTGGCATGGTATTTTAGTATTTATATAGTATTTATACTCCTGGACTTAGTATTTTACCTGTAAAACAACCAAGTACCCATGAAGAGAGCAATTAAAAATAATTACAAACTTACACGTTTGTACTTCTTTTTCAGGTCACCAATGGGGAGGTCAGGTTCAATCTGCAGAACCTCAAACGGGTTCAAATTTCTGTAGGTGGCCCCTGGTCGCAGCAACCGTTCAATTTGCTGGGCAGATGTCAGCACCGAATCCTGTTTCTCGATCTTCTTTACCTGCAGGTAAACCCAGATGTTGGTAAACACACTTCAGTAACAAATTTCGAGAACATGCAAGGCAAACATTAAGTGAAATATTATTAGCATGTTGCAAACCTTTGGTGGATAAGTCATTTCTAGATGTATACAGCTGCTTTGAACAAACACAATCAACAAAATGGTCGATCAATGTAACAGCAAAGCCCTCTTACGCTTATCACAGCTGGAAAACACTAATGGCTCACTTCTAAGTCAAGGCACAAGAATACATTGAACAACAAAGATGTACAACATAGGCAAGCCAATAACCTACCTCATTGTAGAACGAATCAAATTTTGCGTCTGACTCAACTGCTGAGGAGCCAGCCATCATCGCAGACCTGGTTGTTTGCCTAAAACAAACAAGATCAATATTGTCAGTATGGCATTCATTATAACTTAAAGCTATTCTAAATAGTATCATTGACTTTATTCTTTATATATATATATATATATATATATATATATATATATATATATATATGCACCAGCTATATGCCAATACAATGTAGCCACTATAGCCAGCACGGCTGGTATCATAATCAATATCATTATCAGAGCATTTCGCGGGAATGTTCGATGTTCCCAGGCGAAGCTGATGGTTGCGAGTGAACAGAGCTCAACATGTAATAAGAAACTGATGAAAGTGAAAGATGGGCATGTTTGGAACCTATGCAGACAAATATAACAACCACAACTAAAACAACAGGAATATATCAAATAAATGGGAGGTAGCTAGGCCAGGTACAACTGAACCACACTGAAGTTCCAGTGCACATAGAGTCAAATGTCATGGTTTGTGCTAAGGACTGATAGGAGCGAAACTGGAAGAAGCTGTGCTGGAAAGCGGCTGCACTTGTAAGCTTCCTTACATGTCAAAAGGCTCTGTTATCAGACTTTAAATCAAATTTACAGATTACAAGCTCTTGATGCAAAGGACAATCTGCCAGTTGTAATAACTTTGGACTTTTTGTCCAACATCTAAAGTACCATGCCTATAGCATGGCTCTGTATAGGCCAGGGTAACCTGCCCCAGTTCCAAGACAGATGTTGAAGGTGGGCACTCCATGATTCTTGACCAATGGATGTTACAGACACTGATGACATGTTTTGGCACTAAATTTCAGACGCCTTTGGTATATACCGGGCCATGCTCCAAGTTAAGTAGGGATGGCACATGGATCAAGATGAGGCGCCACATGCGTATGAGGCGGTGATATCCTATGTGGTGATATCGTCTGAGGTGGTGATATCTTCATGGTGATATCTGCCCATACTGTTGAGATCTGACATGAATTCTGAAAAACATCACCAAGCTGTCAAGTCTGTGGTGCAGCACGAGCGCACGTGCGCCGCTGCATGCACGGACTTGCACTGGCACCAGTGTGAGTCTGTTCTTCGCCAAGTCAAAATGTGCTCATTTTGTTTTGCTGTCACTCTTCTTTGTAAGGATGATAGTCCCAATTTCATTTGCCATTCAGCAAGTTTTGACGGGTTGCAGACTTTGTCCTTCCCATGTCGAACATGCCACTGATGTTTGCATGTGCCACACAGGCACATCATGTTGAAAACAGCATTGTGTTTTGTCAGGATGCCTACTACCACCAGACTTTTACAGTTAATGCCTTTCAAAGCTGCAAAAATGCATGAGCCTTCACCATAGGTTTTAGGTACTATTGCCCTTTTTCCCAGTTTTTTTTCTTGGGCTTTGCATTGCAGATGTTGCAATTCTTTGCCACAGTTCCTGAGTGGTTAACAAAACAAGGAAAACCCCACTTATGATACAACAGGATTATCACAATGCATAGTATACATATCTGCTGATTCATACAGGAATTTTCATCTAAGCCTGTGACCTACAACCACCAGCCCAGGGTTGTGATATGAAGCTTAGTCTTAAACAATTAGTGGTTGTGTGCTACCACACAAGGTGTGGATCCACTACCAGGCAGCTAGCGATGGTGCATAACATTATACCAACAAACTTCATACATGAGCAGACAGTCAAAATTTGTTTCTAGCTGGCAGCTGACAGTTGATATATTAAATTGTACACACAAATATGTCATGAGCTCCTGATACAAGCTGATGCTGCACTGCCATCTCTATCAAGGTGCAGGTTATAATATGTAGTTGTGTTCACTTTGTCATGATGCATCTCCATTGTGTATTTGCATCAAGGTAAGGTATGCATTCTGCAATGTCACAAAGCAAGAATGCAATGTCACACAAATACCTCATAATATCAGGGCAGATAACATTAATTAGTTCTGCTTTCGCAGACAACATCAGCCTTCTCAGAAATTCCATTTAGCGAGCATGTTGTGAGACATCCATCTTATCTGTTCCAGAAATATGTCATGGAGCAACAACCACTGGATCACTTTTGTTGAATGTCAGAACCTGCAGGCTCAAATATTTTTACATCAGAATGGTGCAAACAGTACTCTGTGCAATACTTTTGCTTGAACACATCTGGAAAGGCACTATGCTAATAATGTTCTAAGCCAGCAATGTTCTGGCAGTGTTAAAAATGAAATTTGTATTGGTGTTAAGCTGTTAAATGAAAGATGCACCATAGCAACATGGTTTTCTATGCTTAGCATTCTGCCACTTCCTTCCAGTTTTTATGCCATCAGCTTTTTCTGTCAGCCAGTCATATTCAGTAAAAACTGACTGGCAAAAACTGTTTCAGCCATTTGCTGCCATCCTTGGCCACAGGCCATGTCAGTCATGGGCAAGTTGCCAGGCATCTTGGTGCTATATGACCTCAGCTTTTCAATGCATTTCTTAACACAAACATTGAACAAAATAAAGTTGATACAACACATGGATCTGCCAAAAGCAAGCCTAGTATTATGCCACATCACGAAGGCAGGAGCTTTACTAGCACAATAGCTTCATGATTTTAACAGCACCCAGCATCTCAAGCTCATATTCCACCACATTACTACCCATGTCTTACAAGCTGAATGGGCATATGAAAAGAAAAGAAATTCATAATTTTGTTATAGTAACCGTCAGGTCTGCTGACTGTAACAGCATGGTGGCATAAGCTTGTCATAATACTGTTCAGATGCTACCTTCCACATCCAATGTTCTCAAGCTCTTGTTCCCCCTCAGCATAGGGGTAAAGGACATTGTACTTAAAAACCAATAGCGTATCCACAAATACCGCCTATTGCGTTCGCAATGGACATGCAACAGAGGGCAAATATGCCGTAACAAGTGCACTCGCCTCAATGTTTCTTAGTCACGCCACCAAACAATTACGTTAGATTGAGCCCTGCGCTTACTGAACCAACATAACTTAAGATGGTCACACACCCGCGTCTCCACAATACACCTAATTGTAATCGTTCGTCGCCGTCCGCCGCGTCAACTGCAACACACATCTGCGCTATTTTGAGTTCCTCGGGAGCTCAAAAACCAAAAGAATGTGCTACTAAAACAAAAAGACCTGCACTGTTACGTGGGATTTGTGGGCCTGACAAACCATTCAATGTGGGCAACGGCACTTTTTCATCAGCTGTCCTGTGAAATCCATGACTGAATCTTGGTACCTTTTTGGGGTCGTTGTTAGGCCTGCAATTTGCTGTGTGGTACATTTAGTTTTCTGTTTCTATCAGCGAACTACTCGGTCTGGTTATGTTGTAAAAACCCTCATTTCAGTGCATTTCGCTGCGCCCTCCAAGTCGTCAAAATAAATAGCATAGGCGTCCATGGACAGAAATATCACTATGCGAAAATTGAGCGGAGCCGTATAACGATTATTAAAGATGTCGTTAAAGCAGAAGCGTTTGAAAGGGAAAAAGGCAAAAGGCCGGCCAACTCCAACGGTCATATTTGCCACATCTGCTCGGGTGGCTGAGCCGATAGGATTGACCTAACCCACCTCAAAACCCGTTTCCCCAGCAATTTCGATCGGCTCGTAGAAGCTGCGTTCCCGATGCCAAAGTTTAGCCCTCGCTCTGATAGGCGGGATTGATGCGACCCCCATAAAGTTTTCCTAGTATATCGATCTTCAGTATATTGTGCAATCGCACTCAAACTGTCGGTAGCTTATGTGACATCCTTTGCTCGTATTCTAGCACCAAAAAGCGTCTCTTTCTCGTCTGGTTTACGAGAAGCGACTGTTTTCAAGAACACTGCACGCCGATCCACAGCCGGCGCGGGAGGCGGGCGGAAACCGACGAATCCGTCGATCGCGCGCGACGGGTCGACACTTTGATAATAACGGAACCCTACGCAGATCTGTGTTCAGGCGTGTAGCCAGGGCCTTGGCAAGGGGTTGATACAGGGTTGAAGGCCTGTAGTGAAATGGCCCCCACCCCCACCCCACTCCCCCAAAAAACGGTTATAGACCAATTTTCCAAAGGCATCCTTTTCATTCCTTTTTATTTCTCTTTTCCTTCTATAGCTAACATAGAAGCCAAAAGGTACTGATAGATATTTCTGACTGAATTTTTAGTCAATAAACTGAATAAAACATGCGTTAAACGACTGCGTGAAATAAATCGCCGGAGCTTCCCATTTTGCAACGGCCCAGCGAGCTGTTTCTAAACCGATAGAACTCGAAGCTTCGTCAGAATTTTGTCTGGGTTCCACAAAGATATTAAGGACCGCGCGAGTGTAAATTCTAGATTGAAATGGGTGAACAGTGTGTATAAACTTGGCCCAGCTATGTTCGCCTGGCAATGTTCAACATTCAGTCAAAATTGATTAGCGATACAAATTATGCACGTAGTTTTGAACACGGGCGCTCGCAAGTATTTGGATCAAAACCTCGACGCCAGACTCTGTCTCAAGTCTCCGTAAGTCGCGCAGCGGCGGTCCCGTGGCTAACACTAAGCCGTGGCCAATGCGTGGATGAAACGACGCTTCTGAAAATGACGGTGACGACGCTTCTGAAAGAAGCACATTTTAACCTTCCAGAGCGTCAAATTGTTTATTTAGATGGTAGTCCGAGCGTCTATTTCACCGATGCGAATTTTATATTAATGTTGAGAACGGACTGGCATTTACAGTACTGCGAAGTGGTGCTGCCAGAATGTGGTGGTGAAAACTGGAGGGGCATAGGTAAAATCTCTGTTTTTCGTGTTGCTGTTGCTTTTCGTGAATACACAAGAGCTCTGTGTTGTTGCAGGGGACCACGACCAATGTGAATCGCGGTCTCGATCGTGTCCCTGCTTGGGAAATGGATCCCAAGAGCTCAGACCAACACGGAGACAACTGTTCGGTGTTGTGATCTCTGGCCGAAATGGAGGAACGCTCTGTCCCAATCAGGGGTTCCCAATCGGTGCAAGAGACTCTCTAACTGACATTTGAGATCGAGGCCCTACGGACGGAGGTCCTCAATATGGCGTTCACTCAGCCATTCAGGCCCTTCAGCCTTCCAGTCAGGCCCTTGATCATTGGCCACGAAGGGTCCTTGGGCCCCTCTTCGGACCTCCTCAAAGTCCGTGACCGACTCGGGGCCGCTAGCCGACACATGATCCCCCATGATCTGTTAGGACACTGTGGGCCCCTGATCGACACAGGGGCCCAAACCACTGTTTCAAGAACGCAGACGAATGCAAATCGTGGCCCCCGGTCTTGCCTCTGCTTGGGAAGTGGCCAAGCAGGGGCAAGATTTACTTCACCTGACTTCTGCTCGTGGCATGGGATGACCTTGTATAATATAGGTGATCTTGACTGGAACTCGATCCATGCGATAAACATATCGAAAACGGCAAAACGAGCCGCGAATTTTTGCATACTACCACAAAAACGCTGTGGAAACCCTCGCTGGTGACGGTATTATTTCAATTTCCAGGTCAGTTGCTATATGTCGTTTTACTGAATGTTTTTTGCCGAATACAAAATCCCGAACGCATTTGTCGGCATGTTGAAAAGGCGAAAGTCGCTCCAGGGCCACCCAGAAGGGTATGGAAGCGTCAGTGATACAGGGCTATGAGGTGGTGTCGCCAAGGTACTCGTTCTGGTCCTCACAATGAGATCTTCTGTGTAGTCATGGTTTGACGAATGTGAAATCCTTGACGACTACCACTGCTTTTATCACATTTTGCCGTTGAATGAATATTCGAAAGAGCCGCAGTCTTGGTTGTGCGAGAAATGCACTTTTATCTGGGCTACCTTAGATAAACGGTAGTTTCACATGACAGTCCGCACAATTCACCTTTCTAGGACTTCTTTGCAAACCTGATGGTGGAATTATTGGACGAAGTACATTGCGGGACAGTATGATATGATATGACAGTATGAGTACAGTTCGGTGGTGTATATTCTGCCTGGTTATGCCACATAAAGAGTGTCGGGGAATGCACTCAACACATTTTGTGCGGTGCATCGCAGAATGAAAAAATATGGGATGCTGTTGATGGGCGTCTGCTAAGAAAATTGACCATGAGCGCAGCTTCAAAACGTTGGGTTTCCTCAACATAACTAATGCCTTTTTTGATACCATCGTTTAACCAATGTCTCTTGGAAAAATGAAGGTCGATTATTATCAACACACTTGCAGCTGAATACCCTGTAATACCGAGATTCAAGACCTGGCTTGCTGACATTAACTTCCCACGCGTGTCAAATCTTCAGTCACGCTATTTTCTTAATATTGCCAAGTTGAGCCACATCCGGATACCAGCCCTTACCTACTATGTTCTTCCTGTCATCGCCATGTCTGTTGAAAAGATCTTACAAGTTCAGTTCAACTTTTATTGGTACATCAGAGCATCGTAGCAGTGCACACCGCCGAATCGTGCCTGCTCGAAAATTACCATGGGCTCTTGTCCGCTCGTGTCAGGCCACGGCATTCTACACAAAGAACGCCATATCGCACCTCGGGTCATCTTCGATGAACAACGAACGACACCCACCTATTCTCGTTCATCACACGGCCTCGAATTACTTACATGTTTTTGTCTGTTAATTATACCACATTCCAAGTTTTTCACAAAAATGCAGCTTCACATCACCTTCAAATGGGAAGTCATTCCGCGGCAGGAAAATTATTTTGGAGTTTTCGAGTTTGTCTCGCCATGATCGTCCCCTTTCATAACGTGGAGGTGGGGAGTCGATGTGACCTCTTTCTCTAAAGTAATACAAGGTCGTCAAAATCGTCAAAAAGCTGTCAAAAATGCCCGCTCAATGCCGTTTAACCAGTACTTGGTGGTATATCAAAGGTCATTAACCCATATATATAAGACTTTTGACTGTCGAGAAAGATTTTACTGTCGAGTCGTTCATATCTGGCGTTCGTGAGCACGATTTTCGGACGTAACGACTGTCAATTGGCTCCCAATCAATGTTGTGTGAGGCACGATATACAATCAAGTAATGACGTATTGAGGAGCATATTTACTACACATAGCAATTGTGTTGTCTAGAGCAGTCTTTTCCACTTTAAAGTGCACGAATAGTTATAGGCGAGCTTATTTCATAGTATTTGATGCATGCTTCCATGTCTTCAAATATGGATAATTCCCTGCATTCCATACAGTACTGCATTCGCCGTAATACGCCCAGTTATAACCAATGGCTGAGCTGCATACCATGCAAGCACTTTTCTGTTAGTCTGGTGGGTAGGGCAGCGTAGGAGCAAAAATCAAGGTTTTTAGCTGATTTTTGCTACCGCCTACCAATTGCGATGGTATTCGTCTGCAGTGGCGTTCGTTTTCGTGCCTGTGATGTCGTCATCAGACCTACTGGCGACCGATCCCCGTGCTTGATTGGATAGTTGTTGACACGGCATATCCTCAGTTATTCGACCTGCTGCATATTTATGATGACTTCGGTCTGCAGAAGTAAATATATGCTATGCACTGATTGTGTTTCTGATGCGTTAACCAAATGCAAATTGGTTGGCCGATGTATCAAGCAGCGCTGAAGACATGGTGGTTGACCTGTGCCAGCTGGGCGTAACGAGAAATAGAACATTCACAAAATCAGCCGCTCGTGTGATGCAAAGAAGGCCATTGTTATACAATGAGCCCATGGAGAATTTGACGAGCAGTCCAAAAGGCTAGTCTTGCGCTAAGCATGGGAAGTCCAGGGGCGCAGGCAGGGCGTGCCACAAGGGGCACCTGTCCCCCCCCCCCCCCTCTTCACTCAAGTTTGGGCCCCATCGGGACGGGCGATCAGGGGCCCGATGGAAGGGTCCGAAGGGCACGAAGGGCCGGTTGAAGGTCATATTAAGGGACTCCGGCCAGCAGGCAAGGCCCTCAAATGCCAGTCCGAGGGTCTTTTGTGCCGATTGGGGGCTCCGTGGAACTACGGGGACCTATATGTTGCGTTCAGGGTCAAACATTGACCGCGATTCGAACCGGTCCGGCCAAACATTCGAAATCTCTTTTCAATGGTATGAGCTG